ATTTTGAAAACGCTGTCGAAGAGTTTTTCTATTTCTAAACATGTCATTTCTTGCCAAGAGTAGAAAACAAGATTTAATAGAATTAGCCGAAGAATTAGGTGAGGAAGTGCCACTAACTAGTAAATGTCCTAGAAATTAAAAAAAATAATCACTGAAAGTCAGTTTTATGATGAGGAAGAAGTTAAATTAATTCTAGACCAAAAAATTGCAAAACATCTAGCTCGAGAAGCAAGGGCATATGAATTGGAAATAAAGTGGCTTGAAATTAAAAATCAAGTAATACGAACCAGAGAGAACCAATAGCGAATATAGTAGAATCAAGCAACAAAATCCAGTTGTCACAAATTACTCCAAGTTGACTAGCAAGGGCAAATGACATCTTTGATAAATTTTGGAGAAACTGAAATGGCTCATGGTTCCTAAAAAGATTGGGGCTTATCTTTGGGTGTTTACCTACGAATCTCCATAGTTAGCAGAGAACAATCTGAGTGCGACTAAGTACAAATATGAAAAATCTAATCTTAAAAGAATAACTTAACAAAAAGTTGCCAGTGCTTTTCAACATCAAAAACTTCTGAAAAATATCGAGAAATTTTTCATGAACTTTCTAGTATTTTTTGGATTGGATTGCGGATTAAATTAAGACATTCCTTGAAGATTTAATTTACCAGCAAATACCCTTATGTCCATAAATTAAGGATAATTCGGAGTCACGCGGAAATCGAACTCTAAAATAAATATATCACCTGTAAAATCACTAACACACATCTTAAGAATCATATGCAAAATTTCAGGAAGTAACCAGATGACACCGATGGTACGTTCACAATGACGAGAGTAAGAGAAAGTGATATATAAGGAATACAGGCAAAGAAGTAAAATTGTTCGCAGGCGATTTATAAGCATTTCAGTGCAATAACCGAATAGTTATGACACAAAGTACACATTTGGATGATTTTTTACGTGGTAAAATTATCAGCTGTCTGGAATGTGGGCGTACCCAACTGGAAGTATCAGATGAACTTGGAATTACCCAGAGTGTCATCTGAAGGCTTTGGCAACGATTCCAAGATGATGGTAGAGTAGACGTTAGCCCCAGAGTTACAATGCCGAATGAGGACCGGTATTTGGCAGTTACTGCCAAAAGAAACAGGCAGAACACAGCCTCAGACCTCTCTCGTCAGCCACTGGTACGACAATTTCAAGGCAGACCGTGTACAGACGCTTAGGGCAGATTGGTTTATATGTTCGTAGACCTGTCAGATGCGTTCCACTTACTGCAACTCACTGTCGCCTGCGGTTAGCCTGGAGTAGAGAGCATGCACTGTGGACACCGCAACAGTGGGCTTGTGTGATGTTTTCCGACGAGTCCAGGTTTAGCTTGCAGTCTGATTCTCGCCGGACTTTCATATGGAGAGCTCCAGGTATTCGTTACCACCAAGAAAGCATCATTGAACGACACCGTTACGGTGGTGTAGGAGTGCTCGTTTGGGGTGGAATTATTCTGGGTTCCAGAACTGACCTTCATGTTCAAATTGGAATCATGACAAGCCATATCTATCGGGACGTCATTCTGGAACAACATGTACATTTGTTTCGGGGTGCCATGGGCACACAATTTGTTTATGGATGACAACGCCAGTCCTCACCGTGCAAATATCGTATGCAAATATCGTAAGCGAATGCCTTCAATCGGAGGATATCACCCGTACAGACTGGCCAGCATTCTCACCAGACTTGAACCAGTAGAACACGTGTGGGACATGCTTGGCCGACGAGTTGCAGCCCGTCAACCTCCTTCTACATGTCTACCGGAACTTCGGAGTGCATTGCTTTTTGAGTGATGTAATATCCCCCATCAGATCGATATTTGATACTCAGATGCCTAGGTGTTGTACGGACTGTATTGCATCGTCTGGGAGACATACAATGTATTAACAATCAAACCAACCATGTAATATTGGTTTTTTGTAAATAAGTTTTTTTTTTTTTTTTTTTTTTTTTTTTTGTAATTTGCTCCAGGGAGAAAAAATCGCTAATTTTTAAAATAATATCAAACATATAGCATGCTTTTTCGCTCTTTACCATTTGTTTAATAAATAAGCTTTACAAATAAGTCAAATGTGTTTTGCTTCTAACTTTTCCTTTGCCTGATTTTGCATTATCCTTAATTTATGGACATGGCTGTAAATATAGGGTTCCCATGGAAGTAAAGGATCATTTTCTCGACCAATGGTTGAAATTAAAAACTCCATATGAACTAGCAAAAAAATTAGGCAAGTATGAGAGTATTAAATAGAGCTTTCAGATGCAAAATCCTAAAAACAAGGTTTGAAACTTCAAGAAAATCATCAAAACATGAACGAAATGCAAAGTGGACAGAATCCTAAAGAAATCTTGAAAGATTTTAATCCTAAGCCTAAAATAGGACAGAATGTACTAATAAAATTCATGAAAAGGAATTTGAGAAGGGGAGACAACCTCGTTGTTATGAATGCGGATCGTACTCGCATCTTCGACCTCAGTGTGATAAACTCAAGAAGAATTTAGAAACTGTAGCATCCAATGAAACTGTACCCTCAAAATGAATTTCCCAAAAATACTTTTAAGGATAGTATGACTCCATATACCAGGCCTAGGTAAAGTAAATGGCTATAAAATGCCCATACTTAGAGATACCAGTGCAACTTTGGATTTAATTTGCCAAAAGTATGTACAGCCTTCCATGTATACGGGTGACGCCGTGTGGATACGAATCATCTGGAATCCATCCATAGTGTGCTTACCTTTGGCTGACGTAGAGCTTGAATGTGATCTTGGTCACATAATAACAAATAGAGCTTAAATTGCGCTGGAGCCCCACTCCGGTACTTCTTAGTTTTTAGGACAAATCATAATTTTTGCCGGAGCACAACAGAGCTCTAAATAAGAAGGCCCTGACACTCCTTTTATGTAACTAGAAAACAATTTCTGTTGAAACCTGATCTCAAACATTTTATTTTTAGTAATCAAATTATATTAAAAATCGCTTATTTAATTTTATCTCTTTACATGTTATTAAATTTTAATTATTTTAATCATTAATTTTTTTATTAGTCCAAAGGGACATTTGTACCCTGAAGGAACTATTGTTTTCGTTTTGTGATTTTGCGCAGGTCCACTTATAATTTGCGTTGGTTGGTCCGTTTCCCTTTTCAGAACTGTTGCCACCAAATGTTAGACTCATGCATTATATTTGAAGAAATTAAATAATGAAAATCTGCATAAATGTATGTATATTTCTCACATTGTGATAAAACAACGGTACATAGAGGCATCGAATTCTCAAATGACATAATCCTACTGCGAATATGGGCATATGGAAGCTCCAAATTTGAAATTTGTTTTTATTATCGATTTCATATTTTGTAAAAAATTAATGAATTGCTGATTGAGAAACTCAAGGATTTCAAATCGAGCAACGGCAATGTACAGAAAAAATATTTTTTTATCTTCAACGCGCGAGACTCTATCGGAAATTCTAAAGGACATGCTCAATTTAAAACTATTTTGTGATATTGCTCTTGAACTGAATTTTATGATTTAAGTGCGAAGAACGTGATATTTAATAAATAAAGGTAACAGACAAAATGTTAAAAAAACGCCCCAACATCCAATAATATTTCTTAGCAAAAAGTTTTCACCTACTGAACAGCAAGCAGTACAGTACAATCAAAAGGAAGTGTGCTGCCATTGCCTTTGCAGTATAAAAGTTAAAATTCTATCTAGATGGACCTCATAAGTTCATCATTCAGACTGATCATAATCCTCTAGTATGGTTTGATAAAAACACTAGGACTAATCCTAGACTATTAGGATGGGCTTTGATCTTACAACCTTTTAACTATGAAGTTGCGCATAGAAAGGAGAAGCACCATCAAAATGCTGACAGTTTAAGTCATTGTATCCAAACATCTCACAACTAAAAATATACATTCTCGGAAGTTTAAAACTTCATTGTTTAAATTTTTGTAATGTTAGAATATTACATTTTATATGTTTATTTAAAATGCTTCTTTGAAAGCACTTGTACTCATTTGGTCAGGTATCTAAAATTTATTTGTTACAAATATGCTTGAATATCTTTCTCTTATTAAGAAAAAGAATTCAGTATTTAAACTGAAAATTTTTTCTTGAAAGTTCGATCAATTTGGGGGAAAAAAAAATTTTTCTTCGAAAAGTTCCCCGTTAAGGGAAGGAATTTAAGACTGTTTCGTATTTGCGTTGCTACCCTACCAACATAATTCCACTAAGAAATGTAAATTACCGCAGACGATTATCCACAGACGATGCGCGCGCTTAAAAATGTGTTTCAGTTATTCTGTATGTTTGACTAATACAGTTTGTTGTTCATTCAAAAATGGCAAGATTTCTTTAAACTTCATTACAGTAGGAATTACATCATGAGATAATAACAGTACATTAAATGGATAAATCTCTATTAAAAAATGCAAAATTTTCATAGGGGTAGGGATGCAGTCGTTTTTTAAAATTTTAAAATAAATACAACTGTTGTTATGATAAAAACTTAGATCACATTATTCATAATATTGCAAATCTGTCTTAAATACATTTTATCACCACAAAATCTTAGTTTATACAATTTACCATTTAATATTGAAAAGCCAATAGAGTAAAAAATGCATGTGCATGAACATTTCAATTATCTTGCGAAACACAGTCTTCTTCGATATGTTTCAGTAAAATGTTATCATATGTGAAAGCTATTTTAAATTCTAAAAAAAAATTGATTAACTACATTGATTGGATACGTTACAGGATTAGTTCAATTAAGCTAGGTAAAAACACTGATGTTTGATTTATCTTACCCAACTCTTGCACCTGACCTCATGTTAACAAGTTATAACTTAAAAAGTTTATCTTAAAAAGGATTGAACTAGACATTAAAAACAGGAAAGTTAAAAAAATGGTGTTAATTTTCTGAAAAAAAGAAAAACCACTTAAAAAAATTTAATCTGTTTTTATTCTCACTGTAAAAATTGGTTCTCACATATTTTCAAATTAACAGCTTTCTCATACATCTGGTATATTTAAAATGGTATGATGTATATGGTCTCACATTTTACACCAGAGCAGATAATGTTAAAATGCTTGATAATAATTTTTAATACATATATATATATATATATAAAGCACATGATTGTCAAAGAAATAAAATGCAAAGCTGTCAAACCTTGCATCATCAAATAGAAATAAATAATGAAATTAAGTAAAATGAAAATTACATTAATAATGCCCAGAGCTATAGTTGCAAAATGTACTTATATTAAAAGAAAACTACAAACCAGAATGCACAGCCAGGTTAAATTTGGCTAAATTTTAATCAAAAGGAACAATGACTTAAATGATTAAAATTTATTCCTTTGTTTTACTATTAAAGTAACTAAAACTGTTTGAATAAAAGTCATTTACAAGTTACTTACAGTTTTAAACTATCTATTTTGAAAAATGTAACTTTGCTACAGTTATATTATTAATCCAAATATCTAATACCACAGTCATGAAAGCAAATATCAGGGCACTGCAGGCCCTGCTCACTAAGGGTTGTTGTGCAATTTTTTTTAATTATCATATTAAGACATACTGTATAAAAGGCTTTTGCTAACATCAAGAACTTTCATGATCCTTTAAAACTGAAGGCTCAAGATCATTTTAAAAATTATTCATTACATTGTTGAAGGAAATGTAAACTGATTTTCAAATATTTTAACACTTAACCCACTACATAAACTTTATAATACAGCAATTACATAAAAAAATCTTTTTTAAAAATTTAAATATTTTCTCATTAATAATTTCAGTTACTATTCAATGCAATTTTTCCAAGAAATAATTTTGACATAATGTTAACAATATCAAAATCAAGTAAAGTAAAATAAAAGATTATTTTTTATGACTTTATCCAAACAACTGTGCAAAAAAATAATGTTAAAAGTAAATTCATCAACAATTACATACAATAACTATTTCAAAAGTTTAAACAAATCTGAAAAATGCAAAAAATCAGAAAATCTGGTGGCAGCTTTGCACATTTTATTTCTATATAAAATGAGGATGAGATAGATATAGAGATCTCGAATAGCTTTTCACTAATGGCAGGAACTGGTAGCCTAACAATAAATGCTTAGATTGAAAATGCGAAGAATGTTAAAAAATATATATGCATATGTACATCTAAATTAAACTTAGATTGCAATTTTTAAAGTAATACTCAAACATGACAAAAATAATATACACAGAAAAGGAATACGTTTGCACTCAACCAACCAACCAAATAAAACACAATGGTGACAATGTTAAAAATATACAGTGGATTTAAATTGTCAACAATTCACATGACTCCAATGTTTATTTCAATGAGAACAAAAACAGTCATTAAAACATTGAGCTGGTAATAAAAATCGAAGCTCTTATATCGTACGAAAAGGAGCACTTTAAAACAGTTATCTACAATAAACATAAAGAAAAATACTTTCACAATTGTCCGGATTTTTTGGAAAATCCTTAATACATCACACGTTTTTTCAAAACTAATCACACAACATGTGCTACGTAACGGCAAGCAAAGGAGGGGCCGTTGTCGTAGAAGAGTCTGTGGAAGGCGGTGTGGGTAGCTGTGGTAGACTGACATGAGCCAGGTCTCCATCTGGACTGTCTGGCACATGGCGGCCAGAGGGCCTGGACAAATGTTGTACATTTAAAGGATGGTGGCTTTGCTGTGATGGAGGGCTACCAATTGGTGGCCTACCATTTTCCAGCACTGATTGCACGCTGTCCGTGGGCCTAGGAACTGGAGGGCTTGAAAGGCTGAATTCTGAAGAAACTTCAAGATCATCATCAACGTCTCCATTGCCTGAATCATTGTCAGTGAGATGATTAATGTCGGCACCAAACCTAGAATCTGGAGTAGGAGCTTCTAAACTTCCCACACTGCCCACACTACCAACATTATCTTCACTTTCACCAGTATTGTCCGAACCACTAATGTAACGAATGCATTTCTTTTTCCGCCTAAAAATAAAAAAAAAGTATTGATTCAAGAAAGAAGTAAAGAAAAAATATTGAGTTAGCTGCATTTAAAATATTATTTAATACAATTATTTAAAATATTATCTAACTAGTGCATAAAATTGCAGTAACAAAATTTAAAAAAAACAGGTATGTAATACTTAACTATTTAAAATAATTAATTCAAATATTAATATTTATTCTATATTATTTAAAATAATAGATACACTTCCAATAATCATAACTATCTCCAATAAGTAGTACACTTTGGGACCAAAGGTTGTGAGAATTAGAAAATTCTGAGGATTTTTTAATTTTGTTCACATTCTGAGGATTTTTGAATTTTGTTAATCCATTCTAGTTTTTATCTTAAATTCATACTGTGTGCACATAAATAACTACCAGAGAATACTCATACCTTAAGAATTAGTTCATCAGGATTTATAAATACAAAAGTATTGCATTTTTAATACGATTATGCACAAAGAAAATAATGCCAATACAAGGAAGAATCAAAGTGTACTACATAATGGAGAGAAAATAGACAAACAAGAAAGAAATATTTTGAAACAAAAAAATTAACTTTTCCTAAAAACATATAAACATTTCTATATTAAAAAATTTAGACATTTATCAGCAAAATTACTTTCAAAATAATGTTTATGCTTTAAACAAAAGAAGATAAATGCATAAATAAACACACTGTTTATCAAAATCTCTGTATTATGTTATTTTTTGTAAATTTAATCTCTACACTAATTTTATCCTCATTTTTGGATAGGTCAACTGCATTTACTAATAATATCAGGGCTGGTGCCAGAGCTTGTTCAATTGGTGTAGTAAAATTTAGAATTCAGAGAGGTACCATTCAAAAGAATGTAGGACTTGTACAGATTGAATTGGGTGGCAAAATGCCTAGCACCAATCCTGAATACTATTAATAATTAACAAAAAGTACTAACTGAAATTTTGGCTTTATTATTATTCTTATCCCATTTCTCTTTACTATGTTTTACAACTATGATGATAGAAAACCTCTATAAATGTGCTATTTTTAATAATCTAACACTACTCGAAGCTAATATACACAAGCTTTATAGTTGCTATTGGCTTGTGAACTACATTTAATTTAGAACTCAGTACATGAAAGGTGGCAGAAAAATAAATTATTTACATATGCTAAATGCATAAATCCAATTTTTTTAATATGCAGTGGAATTTATTTAAAACAAAAAAACAAAAAAAAAAAAAAATCTGCAGATTCACAATCTGAGAGCACTAGCTGTGTATGTAGAAAATGTTAAAAAACTTCAGTTAATAAATAAATAAATAAAAGAATAAAAACCTCTTCAATCAAACTAAACTTTAAATTAGTGTATACTTACATACGTATAAAGAAAACATTTTGTTAAATTTACTGATGCTGAATTTCCTAACAATTTGAATTCTGTTTGTTTCCATCAAAAAGCAAGAGCAAATTACAGGTATTTGCAGATTATTCAAATTCTATGGTAATTTGTTTATCCTTTTACAGTGAGAAAAGCATTCTAGTGTAGAAATTTCATATTGCATTTTTACGAAAGCATTCTAATGTACATTCAAATTTAATAATTAATTTTTACATATTATTTGTAAGATCTTTAAATTTGTCACCAAAGTGTAATTTAGCTATGTGAAACATTATACATTTTCATGCTTTTTTGTACTGCAGTACTTTTTCATGTTATTTACCTAAACAAATTTCAGCATTATGAAAGGATATGAACGCCTTAACTAAACGCAGAGGAACAGAATATCATATTTTCATCATTACTTACAAAAGTAAAAATGGCAGCTAAGAAAACAAAATATTGAACTCTGGAGAACAAGATTATTAATGTTATAAGCAATTAAAAAGAATTAAAAACCACTGCAGCATTTTTATGATTGTACATGAAAATAAATGTCTATTTAGAAAACAAATGTTTACATTTGGAGAAAGGGAAAAAAAAAAATATTTAAGAAGCTGAAACTGTGATTTCAGTTAGTTTAATAATATTTGTCTCAATAAAGAATATGCTGGAAAACATTTCTAATATTCAAGCTAAAATGTGATGCTTATTAAAAATCCCAGTAATGAATTTGAAAAATTTTTATAAAAGCATGTTAAAATTCTTTCTGTAATGCAACTCACAAAATTCGATTTTCAAATTCCAAATATAACTTTTGACACGTTTACTTTCTATTATGGTATCCACATTTAATTCTTTAATATATAAGAGCATATCTAAACTTGGGTCTTATTGTAATTTGCAGGAAAATCTTCTCTTTCAAATGTGAAAAATACATTTATTAGCTTAAATGGATTAAAAATAAAGTCTTTAATCCGGACCTCAACTTTCTGTGCATGCACATAATACTTTTATGCATGCACATAACATGTTTACACATGCTTGTTTAATGTATAACGGATGGTATAAGCTAGGCTTCAGTTAATGTTGCAGATTGCGTTGTTCCTTAATATTCTAATTGGATCCGGTTTATTATTTTTTGCAGACTGTTACAGCAATTTTATAAAAAGTAAGCTTGAACTTTCGATTATGTCAAAAAGAGTTTCCGATTCTGGGGCTACCAAAGGATCTACAGAGTGAAAGCACGTTTTGATGTCCATTAAACAAAAAGTGGAGCTGCTGCTGCAAAATGGATAAAGGCATGAAGAAAGTGACAGAGAGGTGATTTGTTTCTCTAACCATTCCGAAATCTGTTTATAAATTTCATGCTGTCGGGAAGAGGTCATAGCGGCGCACAATGAGCTGGAAGTTGATTTGTCAGCACTATCCTCAGCTTCAGGGCAGATGTTTTTATTTTATTTGGCTTATAATTCCTTACTAAATGTAGTGTTTCATCTCAATGTACTCCGATATGATTTAAATCAATTTCCTCATCATTATAAATATCACAAATACACATCAAATAGTTTTCTGGTTGCAATTTTCTAATTTCAACTATACATAATGTGTGCTTTATGCATGCGCGCGTTGAAAGAAATGTTTAATAAACAAATAAATATTAAGCTTTTTTTTGTAAATTTTGATACTCTTTAGATCATAATTGCTCTTTATTTCATAAGTTACAGTTTCATATTTTTAGTTTTATAATTTCTGCATGCCATCTTACCAGATTTAAATTGATGATCTATAATCTGGAAAAAAACCTAATCCGGAATCGCCGAAGTCCTGACGAGTCCGGATTAAAGACTTTGTACTGTAATACAATTATTAGCTTTGGATCTGTCATTATATTAAATGATGCCTCATCTCAGTCATTCAAAACATTATTTTAAAATAAAATTTTGTGGGACATAAAATGTAATGCATTGACTGATATGTTGCATCTAAATTAAGCAATCCGAAGTATATTTTGAAACTAAAACATGAAAATAAGAAATATGTTTAAATTACACTATTGGCATAAAATGAAATATAAAAAAAAATAATAAGCACTGTTTAGTGAAATAATACTCTTAAAAGGTTTCAGTTTAATTATACATCAAAACTCTCAACATCACTTAACATAGTCCTGAAATAAGACATCATTACCTGAAGGTTTACTTTTAATGACAGTTCTGTTAACTCTTTTCAAATTTAATATCTGTTACAATAACACTGAATATAAATTCTTGTTTTTGCATAAATTTTTTTAAACTTCGTTAAAATTTTCATTGATAGAGGGCACTGTACAGGAGCAAATCACACATTTCCATGTAAAACTATATTTGCATGTAGGCAAATGTTTACAAGCATATCACTCTTATTCTATGCGTCTGGCATAACTAAAAATTATAGTTTTGAAGCGACTTGCAGCACCATTAACTGCACCACGTAGCTTATTCCAATGGATGCATGCGATTTCACGATGGATGGCATCTTTAACTAGGACAAAGAAGATGGAATTACTGGACTTGACATAACTCCAAAGCCAAAAATCAAATGTTAATCCAGTGAAGGAGGGGGGCACTAATTTCTACAGTGACGTCTAATTAATTCCTCTCTGAAGAAGGTTGTTTTTAGGAGCATCTTCCCTTTCACTGTGATAAGAGGAGATGCCTTGTCTTGCATGAATGTCACTGTGTCAAGGACATTATGTTCCAGAGAGTGTGGTATCACTTTCTCATGCAGCAGCTGCAAGTAATGCTTTGCAGTAATTAAGCAGGCCTCCTAGCCAACTTCTGCATAGCGATCTTCAAAGAAAAAAGGGCCTACAATAATAGATGCAGTGAAACCACATCAAACAGTTAAACACTGCAAATAAAGGGACTCCCCAGTATAGGTATGTAACTCCTTTTTTTGCACAAATTCTACAGTTATGGGTGTTTACTGTTCCATGCAATGAAAAATGAGCCTCGTCTCTTCTGTGCACAAGATATCGAGAAGCCATTGTGGATCATCATCGATTTTTGACAAAGCCCAATTTGTGAATTCATATTGCTAAGCTTTGTCATTAAATAAGAGCTGATGCTATGACAGCAACTTGTAGAGGTACAATTTTAAAACACCATGAAGATTGTGGAATACCAATGTTTCAGTATACCAGTGTTTTGTATCGCTACTCACTTACTGCATTCTTTGATTATAACTTTACAGTGTCCGTCTGCAAAGTCATATCAAAAGCATGGACCTCTGATAAACTTGGTATACCATTACGAGGGCGATGACACAAACTTCCATTTTTTTTTTAAACATCATACTATCTAAGTTAGTTTGGCAAGAGTGACAGGACCTGAACATTTCTTCCATCACTTCTGTATCTGAAGCCTGTGTAAACCTGAAGTCCAAGAATCTTGGCTCAGGAAAAAAAACTTCACCAATAAAGTCTTATCCACCAATATCAGCATCATAATTAAAATTTTATAAACAAGCAAGTAGAAGGAAAAATCAGAAACGAGCAATTAATAGTAAAACCTTGCAATTTACAGGACTTTGATTCGCATATTTCTTCTTACTACGTCGGTGCAGCCCTCTCTTACCGATGAAAATTTTAACTATTGTTTTCTTAACACCCACAAAAAATCCCCCCTTCATGAGAATTAACTTTTTTGCAAACTGCATCCAATTCTACTAATTCCCATAATTTATATGAATTTTTAAAATATTTATAAACTTATGGGAGACATATTTAGAAGTGAAAATAAATGTTTGCCAAGTTACAGCCAAGTGAATAAAAATTCAGATGACCTCAGTGAACAAACAGAAACTGAATTTTAAGATGAAACATTTCATGACAATTTTTCTAACATGGTAAATGAAACTTTTTGTATTTCTGATGTTAGCCCCCCCCAACAAAGTTAATTTTAAGAGAGGTATTGAATCTTCACTATTTTTTAACTAACCTGCAAGGTTTACACCAACTACTCTGTTGATCGAGCCCAAATCTCGCTCGACACTTCTTTGGGTTGTTGCCATCTAAAAAACAATTAATTAGGAATTAAAACACAAGTTTAAAAACTCGCAGAGCAAAAGATACTTTTGGACACTACGTAAATAAATTTCATGCTTTATATTTTATAAAAGCAAAATAACTAATTGTTTGAAAATGTAAATAAAATCAAGATATCAAAGCACAATGAAATGATTTTACATATTATAACAGTTTGAAACCAAGTATCATCACACAGTTTGTTATAATGTTTTTCATATCACAGAGTCTAACAAAAACATAAACTCACAACACATAATAAGAAAACAAAATGGAGTAAACCCACACCATTGAATATATACTTACATATAATTTGAATACCCCACAGCTGCATGTTTGTGTAAACAGGAGACAATTAAATTGATAGAAGCTATCAAATACTTTTACTAAACATAAATGTTTATAATGAGTATCATGTTCTAACAGTATAAATAAAGTATGAATTAAGCACAACCTACAACAAAATATTGAAAACAAATACCTAAAATAGTACTTCATAGAATCAATATATTAGTTACATTATTTCTCTCTTTCATTAAATGTAATTTAGTTTTAGAAAAATAACTCATATATTTTAGAAAATAGCTAAAACAATATTAAAAAAAAAAAAAAAAATTTAGTTTAAAAAATAACAATAAAAAAAAAAAAAAACAATAAAAAAAACAATATTTTAGTTTGTTAATAATAAAAAAAAACAATATTTTAGTTTGTTAAACAATATTTTAGTAACAATAAATAAAAACAATATTTTAGTTTGTTAATTTTATGCACTATGGCAAAATTATCCAATATTTATATCTTTTGACAAGAAAAGAGTATCATCATTAATATATTTTTTGCTCTTTTAATTTATTATGGCCTTCTTAAACATAAATTTATAAATAAAAAAATATGTTTTTTCATAATGCTATTAAAACACTTTAAATATTAGTCTTCATAATTTGATCAGTCTTTATCAAATTTTTATGAAATATTGTTGCTGATTAAAAAAAATCTTGACTCTCTTTTAAAAATTTAGATCACACAGTCAGCACCACAAATTCTTTTATGTTAACTGATGACTAAATATTAAATACAAAATTCTAGATTCCTTCAGTATATTTTCTAAATAAAGATGGAGACCAGTTTTCTGATATGGAAATAACTAAAAGATTAGCTATAAAGCAGAAACAGCAAATTAAAAATTTAACAAGCACAATACATGCACTTTTTGTTTTGTGGCTCAACAAAGTAATTAAATACTTAATTAACTTTATATATATAAAGAAAATATATCAATATGATACTGGTGATCATTAATTAAGGAAAAATCAAAATTTGTAGAATTTGATAAAACTGACTCACAGTATACATTGTAAGGTATAAAATAACACACAAAAAGAAATTACCAGACAATTATGGTATTACAAAAATTAACATATGTATAAAATGAATAAATCGGAAGTGTCAGTTTGGTATAGGAAAATTACCTTCAATAAAAGTATGATCTCCCTTAAGAAGCAACACAGCACATACAGTGATGTGTGATGCTGTCAGTTATGCCAGTGCTTAAATTGCGCCGGAGGCTACCAGAGCCCGGCTCCGGTGCTTCTCAATTTTTAAGATAAATTACAATTTTAGCTGGAGCGCACGGGAGCCCTAAATAAGATGAGCTCCAGTACTTCTTTTTATAAAACTGGACCACAATTTAAAGGGGATAAAATTTATAATTTCTAGTGTTTTAGTTTAACAATAAGCAGACCTTGCAATACTCTATTTCCCTAGAAGTACGAACTCACGAGAACATGAGACGTTCAAGACTCACATGTGTAAACCTTTCTCTTTAAGGAAAGCAATAAATTTGGGGGAGTTTGTTTAGAAACGCTTAAATTTCTCGCCATGCCATCGTATCCAGTGTATTGTTATCGATGCTTACAGTTAGTTATCCTCGCAGGAAGGAAAATTTGTGTTCTTAAATGTGCGTTAAGTGACAGCAAGTACAATAAGAGTAAAATACTGAGATAAACTGCTCAAGCACGTCCTATACATCGTCTTCCCACAGTATCCACTAATGGAGAGAAAGCATAACCAGCAACTTTACATTCATCCTTAGGAGTCAGATTCAGGACTCATTTTACCCCTGACACACATCTGCTTGATGGTTATACAAGGTTCATAGCCACATTTTATTTAAAAAAATAAGCACCTATAAGCACTTTTCAAGCAAATTTTAAGAAAAAAAATAAGCACCTGTCTAATTACATCATACACAACTGCATACCCTTAAAAATTAGACTTGTAATTTAAAATATGAGAAATGCAGTATTTATTAAGAGAGAATAAGCATTACCTCAACCATGGAAAATAATTACTTTTTTTTTTTTTTTTAAATTTTAAATAACAGTTCAATTTACAGAACTAGTTTACAATGAGAGGAAAAAAAAACTATTCAGAACTAAACTATATTACAAGATTTAATGATAAAATTTCAGTTCAAAATAGAGAAAATAAATAATAATAAGGCATATTTATTGTATTCGCTTGGAACCTAATAATAAATACAATTTATTTTTTCACTCATATTGATATTTAAATAATTTAAATCTAAATTCTGAACATTTTCTAAATTTTCATTGTATATCAGTTTTTCCTTAATAGATATTGCAAGCAAAGTAATTTAAGTAAAAAAGAGGAACATTTCTGAAATCAGAAGACAGAAATTTGCTTCATGCAGTCATCCTTTAACAGTAAAAGCTTAACTAACCCGCATACTTGGAAATTGGCGAATATTGGACAGTCGAGCGCAACTTGAAAAAGAGGAGCAGAAGGGGGGGGGTTAGACTGTAGCCGCTAAATAAATGCTTTTGACATTTCGATAAGTGCATCATATAAAAATAAACTAACGAAAATAAAAAATATTCTGCTTAGCAAGCACAGTAAAACTCTTAAGTGTTCATAAACAAATCTCGGACTGATCATCAAAATTAATTATCTCTGCAAAATATCTCAAACGTTATTGCGCAATATGTGAGCCGTGAATTATGTGATATTACGCAATCGGAATCAACAGCTGCCGGTATTGGGAGAATAAAGAACTAAATAACTGGGGTGTTTTTCATTCCAATTTTCAACAGACGGCGTTAAATTTCCGGAATAGAATCATTCTTCGCTTGGGTTGGCAGACCGCAGAACCTTTAGCTCTATTCAATCCAGATAGGAAAGTAACAACAACAAAAAAAAAAAAAAAAAAAAAAAAAAAAGGGTCCATTGCTTGTTTTGCAGCGAATATTCAAGATTTTGCGGAGAAAGGGGAGAACCTCCCAACCTTCATACTGTATAATGTATTGGCCAAAAAAATTAAATTATTTTGACTATTTGATTACTTTCCCTTTATTTAAGCCATTCCAAATATTATTCCTTAGAAAGCTAATCTGTGTTAAAACACAACCATTTTTGGAAGTTTACTATACTTCAGCAGTTACTGCAATAATGTTATTATAAACATTCATACATATACTCAATATAAGCATAACAATCATAATAAACATGAATATGAACTGACCAAGCAGAACGAGAATGCAAATTTTTAAGATCTTGATAGAAATTCAAATGTGCGTAGTATTTGGGTGGGAGGAAAAGAATGCCAAATGCACCAGAATTTTCTACTGCTTTCCCAATTCTTTGACCAATAGAACCATGGGCACCTATCTGTACTCTTCGTGCACACCAAAGGTTATGTTAATGCAGAGAAAGGGGGAAAAGCTGTTTCCGGGAGTATGATTCATCATCTGACATTCCATATTAGGAAGAAGAGTTGTTTATTTAGTTTCGGCTTTGGTACGGGGAAAAATAGTGCGTTTATTAAAAAAAAAAAAAAAAAAAAAAAAAAAAAAAAGAGCACTAAAAGCAAAAAATAAGCACTAAAAACAAAAATATAAGGGCTTTAAAGAAAAAGTAAGCACCTATAGGGGCCTTTATATTTTATTTTCAAATATAAGGACTTATAAGCACCGTTACGAACCTTGTTATAATTATATCAGTAGAGAGCCGCAATCAAAGAGAACGTTCTCTCTCACCATTTTTTTTTGATGAGAGAGAGTCATTTTTTGTTTCCACCCACTCATACCCTCATTCTGTTTCACCCTAGAATTTTCATCAGCTATACTTTAAGTATATTTAATTTTTGTGATGATAAAAGAACTTCCCCCATACAATCAGAGCTTAAATTGGGCCGAAGCCCACCGGATCTCGGCTCTGGTGCTTCTTAGTTTTTGTAATAAATCATAATTCTAGCTGGAATGCATCGGAGCCCTCAGTAAGAAGGCTGCGGCACTTCTTTTATGTAACTGAATAACAATTTCAGTAGAAATTTTATCTTGAAAATTTTATTTTAACAATAAAATTATATTACAAATCGTGTATTAAATTTCAATTTATCTCTTTACATTTTATTAAATTTTAATTATTTAATTACTTCAAGCTTTAATTATTTCAATAAATAATAATTAATTATTTATATAATAATTATTGATTTAAATAACAATTTATAAACATTAATTAAATAGCTATTAATTAGTTTGATAATAATTAACTATTTAATTTTAAAATTATTAATAAGTTTAATAATCATTTTATTTATTTATTTACTCTTGTTCCTCTTTGCTGACAGTCTTCCATAGGGCTCCGGTGCTTCTAATCTTAGAAATTAAGCCCTGAGTTATGCGGTCTGTCAGTCAGTGCCATAGAAAGTGGGAACCACTGCTCTCTTGCAAAGCAGTTGCAAGTGTGGTAAAGGTGTAAAGAGGATGTCTAAAAAGGAAATCATTGCCTATTGCTCCCACACATAAGGGTACACATAAGCATCAAGTATGTCCTCAGCATTCATGGTTCCACATGGAAAGAAAGACATGGAGGTCTGTGCATCCACTTAAAGAGATATTACCCAAAGCACACACAATGCCAGCCACATGGATTTCTTTCATAGATGTTTGATAATGCATTTCAGGCTTTTTCCAAATCAAATAATGCCTACTGTCACTTCGAAGGCTAAATCTGGACTCATCTGTAAAGAGAACAGCCCTCCGTTGATAAGCCATCCAGTGGACATGTTGACATGCCTACTGCGAACATTCTTGTCTATGATATGAAATGAGTGGCATGCAAATGGCCGTTTGCCTCTCATACTGACATCATCCATGAAGCCTTCTTTGCACAGTTGATGCTGACATCAACTTTCTGCTGGCTGCAGCAAGGGAGGATCTGAGTTGAGTTGCATAAAACAACAATAGCAGTCATCAGTGCTCATCATAGCAGAGGGTCGTTTTTCACTTAACCTATTGGATGCTGAATCTGTGGTTAGAAATTGTTGACAAACTCTATGAACAACAGAAGGACTCATATTTAGGCATCTGGCCACGTCCGTCCAATTTTGTCCTGCCACCTAGATTCTTTCAAGCATATGGTGCATTACAGTCCAATAAATAAAGGAAACTGCCCTTGTAGATGGAAGAGTTGTAAAGAAATATGAAAGAACATCTTGCAAAACCTTACATGGGCCATTGGAGCTGAGGCACACAGCCTGGGGAGTCAGCAAGTCCAAATCTAAAAAGATGAGGTAATCACATTGCATCATGAATCTGAAGCAAGCCCCCCCCCAATAGTTCTTGGCAGAGAAATACAGATATGTTTGCCCAATATGAGCACCAATTCTTTGCAGTTGCAACATCCCTGTAATGACAGAGTTCTGCTTTATGGATGCACTCTCCAATAGCCCATTTGATGTTTCTAAGAGGAATATCATGTAATTCAGGTTGGTTAAATTGTCTTGCGTCTAGTCTTCCAATATCTCTTCATCACAGTTCTTCAGGCAAATGATGCCTGGATATCACTGTTATGAAGTGTCTATTCCAGATTACCTCTATCACAGTGAAATTTGCAGACTTGTTTTCAAATGAGCAATTTTATGTTCCTCACAGATGATGTATTTCAGGTAATATGCATACTGCACTTTACTCAGCAACTCTTATTTGACAACATATTTAATTTTTATACGGATTGGTGTATTTTTGAACGAGTTATCACTATGTTTGTGATTTTTCCTCAATTTTTGGAAACCAGTGTATTTTTCCATTCAAACACTCCCTGAAATCTCTTATCAAGAGTTCTGACTAATGAATAATACTGCAGTTTTGTTTGAATGCTTAACTTTCTTTGCAGTACTTCTTTCTTTTCTAAACATTTCTTTCAGTGGAAATTATTTCATTTGTTTTGCATCTTTTTCTAATACTTTCTCTTTAGTTTTACAGATAAATATAATTTCTTGTTCAGTTACAAAGCCCCATTGTTCAAGTCCTGTAATGCAGCATCAAGAATTCCCCTAGATTGTCAATCAAAATTTTTTCATACTCAGCAACCTCTTTGTCATTTTCTTCACCATTGATGGTGATATTTTCCGGACTTAGAACAACATTACATATTTCACCATCCATTAGTTGATCAATGATTGGGGTATTATCATCACAATGAAACATTTCTGTTATATCATTTTCATTTATTACCACTTCTCTACATTTTTTCATAATTCCAATAATTGGAAATTTTGCTTTCGTTTATCATACCTGAAAAACCTTCAAATTAATGGCTGTCATCATAAAGCTTACCTAGCTTCTTACGTACACTGCTGGTGAAGTATCTTGAAATGGGCGACTAAAGGCATGCTGTTCTGCTACAGATAAAGTTAAGCCTGAACTACATTAATTATTTAATATGCTTATGATTATTTCCCACACATGCTTAAGGTTTATCTGAGTCCCAAATACATAAATTCCGGCATACATTTAAGGCTTATTCAGGATCAGTGCTAAACATTTTGCGGCCTGGTACAATCTCTGCAGGTCCAGAATTCTAAAAATTTTGCTACCCTTAAATTTTGCATCCCAATAACTTCTCTGAATTCTAAAGATTTTTTCATCTTTTAATTTTGTTGCTTGGTTCTTCACACAGAGCCATGCCTACAATTATTCTCACCTGAGGCAAAGAGGTAAATGCACACTCCTGTATATAATGTATGGTGTATGCCTGTTAAAAAAAAAAAAGAGAGAGATGCATGTGCATGCACATATATGTGTAATATTTTGGGATGGTACGACCAACTACGCCACAGTTGTGGTGGGGACAGTAAGAACGTTAAAATGTATAATGACACAGTTGCAATAAACTGTAGCCATTACAAAGAATAAATAATCAGTTGCTGCTTTTGTTCACATACTTAATCATCTTCGAAAGTTTCATGGGGATTGTTATCAGGCAGTCTGATCGCTTTTCTAATATGAATTTTGTAGACCTTCTTTGCCTCATCTAAGAGATAACATTGATACACTAGGAGATGTAACAAATGAACCAAAAACCTCTCTGTGATGTGAATAATTTGGTAATAAAACATTTCTAGATACAATTAATATTATTACCTCCTTCTTGACTTTTATCTCTCTTTCGTTTTTTCTTTTTGGCATTGATGGCATAATTATCACGAGCTGTCCATCCTGGATACATCTGCAAGTGCAACTGACGTTCCTTCCTTGCCATTTCATAATATTTTGCTTGTTCTTCCCTCGATAAATTATGCCACTGAAAATTTTAATAAATGTATTTTTACATATTTGGGAATTAAATATTAGTTCTACTGTATTAAAACATTTTAGTATAAGATATTTAGAACTTTCATAGTTAAATATATAAAAAATCTTATTTGTAATTATTATTATTTTTTTTTTACATTACATTATTGTCAAAACACCAAAATCAGCTTTTCCATTGTGCAATATATATGCTTCACATAGCTTTGTCTACAATTCTGCAGGAGTGCATGAAAAGAACTTGTGATAATCAGTGGCTAAAGCACTTAATGTCTTATTTTCTCATTATTATTTTAGAAATGAAGTTTATAGATGCGAATTAGATTATTTAATCAAAGTTAAACATATAAAGGCAATTTTCTATTCTACTCCTAATTAAGATCACCTATAGAGGGCCATCCTATTATACTTTTCCTCTTACCAATCCCTTTAGGAAACATTTGGCTCAAGAGATTTCAAGTACACCACACTTTGAGGACATAGCATAGTCACAATTCTTACGCATTCGTGTAAAGAGAAGAGAGACTGTTTATAGAAGAGAGAATTAAAGAGAAAGTATTAGCACAAAAAATGAAGCAATTTAAACAACTTACATTGAGATAAATGTTTAATAAAGTAAACAAATAAATATTAAGCTTTTTTTTTGTAAATGTTGATACCCTTTAGATCATAATTGCTCTTTATTTCATAAATTATGGTTTCATATTTTTAATTGTATAATTTCTGCATGCCATCTTACCAGATTTAAATTGATGATCTATAATCTGGAAAAACCCCTAATCCGGAATCGCTGAAGTCCCAACGAGTCCGGATTATGGACTTTGTACTGTACTTGTCATATGTAAGGTCTTAGTGAGCATGAAATAAAAGTGTTATTAATCATTCAACATTTTTTTTTTTTTTTTTTTTAAATTTAGGGGTAGCAATCTTAGGAAAGCACGCGGGCAGCCAATGGACTAGGAAGAGCTCTGGGAATATGTACTGAAGTAAGATGAGTAAATAAAATAAAACAGGCAAATACAAATAGTTTGAACAACCAGGCTTTCAAAATAAAATTCATGCTTCAAGGACTACAATTTTGTTCTACCTATTATAAAGAGTTTCTTCAGAATAATTAGGATAATATTTTAGACTTATATACAATTAAGAGGCAACGTAATTATAATATTATATTTATTCTTCTTTAAATTTCCACCATCATATCAAAACAAATACTGGTAAGATGATATACAGACAATCTTTTGCTAAGCACAGGCATACGTTTAGCAGTTATGTTCCCATATATACAGGTGGATTCAAGTTAACAGTCTACCATCGAACAGGTGATTAAGTAGCTCCTGGTAGTTCCTACCTGGGATCAATTCCAGGCAAATGTGCTGGCTGCATGGGTGTTTATGTGGTTTTCCACAAAAACATGAATGTGTAATGTGTACTGCAAGTATAATGTGTATATGAGCCAGTTTTCCTTGCAAAGTCCTCCAAGAAGGCATCCCTACCCTTAGGCAGACAGCCCTAGTGTGCTTTGCCGTAATAAAATAAACCAATGCAAAGAGATTCAAGTCAACTAATCACGTTGGAAAGGCATTTGTAATTGGCGACCACATGAAGGACAGAAGTCTACACCATGCTTTATCAGTCTGCTTTATATTATATATATAGTATATTATATGCTATATATTATGCACTTTTGTACGTATCAAAGTTAAGCCATAAAATGTTCATAATTTATAGACTCGTACAATGCATTGAAAGCTTTAGAAACCTTTTCTGACACTCAAAAAATCCAGTTGAAGTTCTAAAGTTAAATTTAAACTTACAAATGTATGGCTATTGAGTTTCTGGTCATGTTGTGATCAGGGAAAATGAGCTGGCAGATATGGCAGCTAAATCTAGTGTTGATTCGTGCAGCTAGTATGTTGCATTTAGAGATATTCACAGGGTCATCAAGGGAAAAGTTTTACATAAGTGGCAGCTACTGTGGGATGTTCAAGTGCTTAAAAGTATAACTGGGAATCTATTAGTAACTGAAGGGAGGAAGTAATGTTGACCTGTCTTCATACTGATTTCTCTCGAGTCACGCACAGTAATCTTTCGAAGGCCAAGAGTCAGCCTGTTTGTTCTCCCTGTGATAGTGTTCTGACAGTGTGACATTTTCTAGGTTTGGTTTGTGTCATGTACATGCTCGATTTAAAAAAGCTCCCGACCTAGACCTGCCAGAGAGTTTGGAAAGGCCAGCCACTCTGATCAGAAAAGAAAGGGGAATCAGGCAACAAACGAGAAAAGAAATGTGGGCGGGAGAATGCAGCGTGCACGTGGTGACGATGCGAGAACTTTTTGATCCGATACCCAGTCGAGATATTCAATGGTTCTTCTTGAGTGTGTTGTTAAACAGAACGCTGATATTATGTTAAGAACATAAAAATGTTTCATGTGACTCTAAAAAAATTTTTATATTGTGTAAAAGTTGTAAATATATATATAAACATTGTTACTTTGGAATGAGTGCATAGTTTTCACTTTTCATGTTGAGAAGATATATATCGTATGTGGATACGTGAAGAACTCTCAGAGATAATGAGAATATCACAGTTTTGTTCAGTTGATTATGGAAAAGCACACTAAGGCTATTTGGTGTGGGATGCCTCTGTGAAGGTCTTTCTAACGGAAACTAGCTCATATATCAGTTACACATGAGAAAAACATGAAAAGATCATTCAGCCAGCCCATTTGCCTGGAAGTGAATCCAGGTCTAACTACCAGTGTTTAGCGATTTTACTGCTCGGCTGATAGTGGGTGCATCATTTTTGAAATCAATGTCTATATTTTAACATATTTCGAAAGAAGTATTTTCATGACTCTGATTTGCCTTTTGACTGTATAATAGGAAAAGAGGCCAATGCTTATTTTTTCAATACCTGAAGGATAATGGTTGTTGTTACATTTGTATGTTTGTGTTTTGAAGTTGTTTCTTTGTACTTTTGCGATATATATTTTTATGTACCTGATGTTTTAGATTTTACACCTGCTTGACACCTGATACCATTATCTAAATTATAACCAACTTCATCTCAACATTCATCATTTTATTACTTCATTTGATTTTATAAGTCTGCTACTGTTTTAAATTTGTGATTATATGTAATCGTATGGATTTAATTGTGATTTGTGTAATTACCGTGTCTGGTGCTTATAATCTGTTCAGGTTGTGGGCCATAAAATCCACTACCACATCTTCTTAAAATTAATTATACATTACACTAAATATCCAATTAAATTTACTCCGTTTTTGCTTACAGTATTATGTATGTGTGATTATTAATAAATATATGGCCCATCAGAAAAATAGATACACACTTTAACAAATGAAAATTCTTTTAACACAACAATGAGCGATTGCTCAAAAAGGGATTACATCTGAGGGAACTGCTGGACATGGCACTGTAATTTGTTAATGAAGGACCACCACATAACCAATTTCTTCTATTCACAACATCTTTCAAAGTCCTCTAATAACAATCTGATTCATTAGCATATGTCATATGTAACATATTACAATCATGACAGTGTAGACATGTGTTGAGCAAACACCATACTACATACTATGAAGATGAATTTAATTAAACTTTGAAACTGGTATGCAGATATGATAGGTTAAAGTACGTATACATTTTTCTAATGGATCCTGTATTTTATAAATGATATAGAAATTAGAATAGCATAAGGAAGACAAATGTTTACATTTAACAGCAATATATTTTAGTTATAAATGCATAACTTATAATCAGTGTTTAATCATTATGCATCTATGTATGAACATTCAACAGAATTCGTACTGTAGCACTCTTTATGACTAAGTAAACATGCAATACATAACTATGTTAAAAGTAAAATTTTATTTCCAACTAAATATATATATTTATGTAGTGCTACTTCTAAGTTCAATTGCAAAATTTTTAACACGGGAAGGAAGCAAAAAATGTAAAATTACACACACACACACACAACACAAAAAAAAAAAAAAAAAAAAAAAAAAAAAAAAAAAAAAAAAACGCAAGAAATTAAAAAAATTTTTAACACAGGAAGGAAGCAAAAAATGTAAAATTACACACACAAGAAAGCGCAAGAAATTAATCTGTTGGATAATAACAAAAAGAAAGAAGGCCTGGGCTGGATTAAGGAAAAAGCACACAATGACTGTATTGCAAATTCTCTTGCAAAAGCCAATTCGTTGTTTTTTATTCCCCACTCCCAATACAGTGCAAGAATTCTGAATTAATGACACAATGGCTGCCTTCAAGGAGGAATTTTTAAGGGAAATTGGCTTCTATTCAGACATATATAGGAAAACCAAATAAAGAAAGCAATTATTTAAAAAAAGGGGAAACTGAACCACCCCAATAACAGCCAACCCAGAACACACTGCAAAAATTTATTCGATGGGAGAGCATATATTGCATTTAGAAAAAATAAATAAATAAATAAATAAAAAATATATATACTATATATATTTACTTTCATCTATCACTATTTATCACAGTGTGACTTGACACTCTTGCAAAGTAACGTGATGCAAAAGCCAATTCTTTTGCATCTCATTGCTTTCTATTTCCCATCCCCATAACAATACAAGAATTCTGAATTAAAAGAAAAATGACAATATTATACAAAAGAACACAGTTGATAGTGTGTTAAAATGAATATGTTCTTTAAGCACAAAGAGACTTTCAATAGAAATTGTTCAAAAATATTGTAATAGAACTGGAAAAATGTTACTTAGGATTAATAAAGATTAGATGAGAATTATGGAAAATTCATGTTCCTAAGTTGCACAGATTAAATTAATTAGAAAAAAAACTGTTATCACATTTATGCTGTAAGATACACTAGAAAACACATCTTTTGGATAATTTTTAGCATATATTTTTTTTAATACTATGAATGATTAATATCTACAAAATACAAAAAGTCATTTTACAAAGAATATACCTACCCGCCTTCCAAGAATTTGATTTATAGCAGCACTTTCTTTGAGGGTACATTCTTGTACAACTTTTGACCTCATTTCTTTCATATAAAGCATGAAGGCATTGAGAGGTTTCTTGATGTGAGACTTCTTCTTTTCATTGCGTAGGGCCCGAGAAGCTGCATTTCCATCATTAAGATTACTTGAATTCTGTGGCTGATTTATTTGATTTGAGGTTGAACTATGGTTGCTTTGGTGGTGACTATGATGATTGAAATTAGGAAGATGCCTGGAAGTAAAATTGCACAGGTAACTGTGCATGCAAGTTTTGAAATAGAGAACAAAAAGTTTCATTCAGGATTTTATGAGGTGTAAAGTTTACATAATATGTCATACTGTTTGTCTAGTTAAAATGGCAAAATTTTAGGCATTAAAATATCAATAGAAAATGACAAAAGAAACATGATACTTTTTAAGGTCTAAAATCTTGGTAATGTCATATTAACTTGTAAGGTTTATCCTAAGTTTGTTACAGTTATTTTTTAACTTAAAGCTCCTTTCCTATTTTCTCTCCTACTTTCAGCTTACAAATTCCTTACAAAATTGAGTTTTTAGAATTGTGTTTAATGCAAATGAGTAGTATTTAAGTTGAAGTTCCACTGACTTGATTAAGAGAGACAGAATCAGAGTTTCTGGCTAGTGTGTGTTTGCTTTTCGGCCACGTCTCTCTAAGTTGTTACTACACTCAGCCGCATTACGAGCCCTGATAGTTTCTCTAGCTAATTCGTTATTTAGGAGCCAACTAATTATAATTGTGTTAGCTTCGGCTAAATCTCTTTAGTTAGTCATTAGATAAGTTTTTATTTCTTATATTCTTGAGTTTAAGCTCAAGTGGAGGCTTTGTTATACGTCCTGAGAAAGGGACCATCTGTACACCTTTAGTTTGAGTAATAAAGGATAATTAACCCTTCTTGAATTTTATATTTCTGTTTCTGGACTTAGGAGATTATTTGCTTAGTAGTTAACTAGCTTCCTCCACACTTAGTTAACAGATAAATGGGAGAAACACTACAAACTTTTCAGTTAATCAAAACAGATCTTTAATAAGTTTTCACTTTAGAAAAGTGCTTACAATATTTACGACTCCCAGCTTATTAAAACAGTTTTTGATGTAAGAAATGACAACAGACTCATTTTTCCATTTTCTGTGTCATGTAACTTAAGTCACATTGCCACTGCATTATTCAGCAATGCAGCCAAGCTCATTTAACAGTGCAGACAAGCAACTCAGTAAATTGTTATTCCAAGAAATATTTTTTATGTTCTACAGTACATGTCTGAGTTTAAGAATAATTATTTACTTATAAACAATGTATGTATAAATTATGCATATATTAATTCTAAAGTTATTTATGAATCATACAAAACTTCACTGTTAATTACATAAAAGCTACTCTGACTTACTAATTCATAAAGATGGACATTTTATAAAATCTTCTGTTTGATTTTAATACTATATTATATCACCATATAACCATGGACGTATTTATAGGGGCAAGATTGCCTGTGAAGGTCACACCTGCATCCAATTTTTTTCAACACAGCAGATATTACTGATGGCAGAAGTATTTTATAAAAGAACCTAATAATTCGATACTTTTTCTTAAAAGTTATTTAAACAAGAAAACCTTTTTATAGGTTTTGTTTTCACAGTTTCAGTTCATTATAAGCAGTACAAATAAATGCTTATATATTTTAATACATTAATTCTTTTTATGGAAAGATAGATTAATTAAGGCAAAGCAACACAAGGGGTATCTGCCTAGAATTAGACACGAAAAAGACACGGAAGAAGCTGAGAAAAAGAAAACTTTAAAAATTTTTATTGTTTTCCCACAATACTTCTAATTTAGTATTCTAACATAGGACTGGAAAAAACATAAAATTAGATATATTCTAAATACTATAGAAGGATTTGGAGGCCACACACAAAGAAGAGACCCACAGCTAATGCTCTATTTGCTTTTGTGCAAATCAGGCCCTATTAAAACCATCTAACAGTTTATAATGCTCAACAATGAAAGGAAAGAAAATTAGTATTTCTAAATAATCTGACTTGATTTTTCATCTCAATATAATTATGGCAAAACATGCAATAAGAATGGAAACTTGTTGTATAACTTTTATACATCACTGTACTTATGCTTTTGATAAATGCAAACTATATATATAATGATTAATAAACAAATAAAATTAAATACAGTAAGAAGAAATCAAATAAATCTATGGCATCAGGAACATCTTTTATTAATTACAGGAATGTCAAAAGTTTCAGAAAAAATTATCAATTAAATATATTGTAAAAGGTTTTTTGACTTAATGGCAATTACATAGAAACATATTATACATTGCTATATTTTTTTATCTTAATATTATCAGTCTCATCAATGCCATGGAATTATTTCATTATCATTAAGAAGTTTTGTGCATAGTATCAGTAGTTCAAAGGAACAGTCAGTGCCAGTGCCAGGATCAAGGCAACTCACACACACAGTCAAATTCAGCTGCAAAATTAACGAGACAGTAAAATTCGAAAAATTTAATTAAGCCCTGTGTGGCAGAATTTAGAAGCTGCTGAAGCATCAGTAACAAAAATGCTAGCACGGGCATTGTGAAAAGTTTGTATTATTATGAATTTTGAGTACAAATAAGTAAATTTGGCAAAATTATACATAAAACTGTAATATCTCTTGTGTAATAACATGGTCCAAAATGCAAACCTCTGCCAGAAAACTACAGCTCTAAGCTGCAGGCCTATTTAACATTGAGGTAAACAACTATCTCAGTGGCAAGTTGGCAATAGTTTTGGTGACTAATTTTTGTGACCAAATTTGGCGATAAATCTAAAAGTCACTAAACTTGGTGACCATTTTGGTCCAATCACTATATCACTGTAATTGGTCCAAAAAATACGTAATTGTTACAGTATATGCCTTCCAGCAATTTAAAGAAACTGACGGCACAGAAAATTATATATGGAGTAAACTATAAAAAGATTATGCCTAAGGAATGTCTTATGTGAAAGGTAAAGTCCCATATACTGATGCTACACTTGGAGAAGTAAAAGCCACAAGGTACTTCTTGCTTCTATGTATGTGTCATTGATAAATTTGTGAATTCCAAAAATAAAGCTATTTGAAATAAGGTCAACCATTTTAAATAACTCCCTTATACTGATGGGTTTAGACAACTTACCGATTGTCTTGAGAATCAGGCATTTCAATCTTTGGCCCTGGACCCAATAATGGATGATGACTCATGCTGGTAGGAATACCAGGATGAGGAGGTATGAGTGTTGGAGGTGAAAATTTACTTGGCAAATTGCTTGTTGGTATAGGTATTGTTGCAGGATAAGGAGGAGGTCGGAAACTAGATGTCATGGGGTACATACCACTAGAGTGCCTAAAATGATTAAAGTTATGAAACATGAAATTACGTGAAATATAAAACTATTTTTCAACATTTGATTCCATGAATTATAAAATTATTTTGGAACATCTATAATAACACACTATTATGGTCTGATGCTTACTCTATTTTATTTACCATACTATTACTAATGCACAAATGTGGATTAACCACGGATTTCTTTATGAAACAAGCACTTTTTCTTTTCCAAATGCTTACATTGTTTAGAAAATAAAGCATCTATGATAATAATATTTTTCAGGATTGTTGAATTTCAGAAGAATACACATCTAAAAAATTAAGCACTTTAAATCAATTATTATTTTGTCACAAACGTAATTTGCATGTAGTAGCAAATGTTTGAAATTTATATATTAATTTTTGTAAGTAACACATTAAGTTTTTGTAAGTTTTTTTTTTTAACACTCTAAGTTACAGCAAACTAATATTTTTCAATTGTATCGTTTTTATGGGGTGGGGGAGGGGTGAATCTTTATACTTCAGCCCATTCTGCCTGTGTTAATTTTTACTGCATTTTGCATCATGCCTTTATTAGATTTGCTACAAAATAACACAGAAGCAAACCCATTATTACCCAGGCACATAGTATAAAATTGTGAGTGTTCCAATTCTTAGTCATTGAAATTATATATGAATATTAACAACAGAATATTAACAACAGACACTGAATGCAACTGATAAACAATATCCCCTGGCAATAAAAAAATAGTTTCATGATGTAGTGATACTGAAAATATGTTTCACAGCCAAAAGACACCAATAAATTATTACTGGTGTATCAGCTGGAACTAGTTAATACACAATATATAAGTAAAAAAACTTTAGATGCTGTGCATCTAAAGTTAAAAGTCAAAGCAAAGTTGAGTCAAAGCAAGGCGATTCCTCAACAATGTTAATAATTGCATCCTTGTAAAGGGTTTAAACATAAAATCAAAACATTTCAAAATAAAAATGATCACAGTAGTACAGACTCAAAAACTAAAAATGCAAAAAGGAAAAAACATATACAAGATAACAAAAATTAATCTCCCTTTCTTGAGATTTTAATTCAGAACTCATCAGGGGAAAATGAGTTAAAGCTTCACAAAAGTTGATTAATATGCTTCGAAAATGTGTTTCATACTTCCGGTAAATTTGAGATCATAATGAAATGGGAGATTTTTTTAAAGTGAAGAACTTATTAATGATTGTGCCTATTGTGGAAAGCAAAAGTTGTAATACAATGTGTATTAAATTTCAGAATATGTATTAAAATATGTATTAAATATATTCAAAATATGTATTAAATTTCAGGAAAAATATTTTTAAATAAATATATTGAAAACACAAAAAATATTTTAAAAAACATTTCCTATTCCATAGAAAGATCCTGACTTTTCAAGAGAAATTAGTCTCTTTCTCTCAAATTTTTGAACAATATTACTGTGCCAAAATGTAAAAAATTGCAAAGCAATATAATTTTTGAATATAAAACTTTGATTTTCAATAAATGCAAAAGGAAATCCTTAATGCAGTGTAAGACAATATATGTAGAGACAACAACTACGCATGCATATAAGATACGGAGATAATAATTAAATCACAAATTAATCAAGGTGTTCAAACACCTATCAAATTGATACGAAAACAATTCAATAAAATAACATAAAAAAATATAATATATACAAATATAATAAAATTAATATAAAAATATTGTTGAAAAATTCTTTGGAATTTTTTCAAGGAACAGTCGAAGAATGCTCGCTTATACACGCATATATATATATAGAGAGAGAGAGAGAGATGTGCACAGATAAAAAAAATATGATGCAATTTTATTAATAAACTAAGCTTAATCTATTCCTGAGGCAGCTACATATATGCCCCACGCATTTATTACTTTTAAAGACATTCTGTTTACCCTTGAGATTTGAAATCTGCTAAATATGGAGCATGAAATGGCCGACTCTATCAATTCGCTTTTATGTTCCTTCCTGATTGAATAGTTGACTAAATGTCTTAAATACATAAAAAAATTAGTCTCTGTAGACCACGTGAAAAAATTAACTGGAACAAATTGGCAATAGTTCTTTAAAGCCCTAATTTTAATTCTAATACAACCACCTTAAGCACATCTATACTGCATCACTGATGTCACGCTTTCCTTGTAATTCCTTTGCACTGCTGTAAACTTCGCTTAATCACTAACCAGAACTCAAGCAAAAGGACCGAGATTATAAATAACTCTTAACTGCTTAATATGTTTCAGTTTTTCACCTGCTGGCTGCCTGAATAAGCCATATCTTTCTTTGCTGTATTTCTTCTCTGTTGTTCAGAAATGAAAAAAAAAAAAAAAAAAAAAAAAAAAAAAAAAAAAATTCTTCTTTGTTCATAATTTTGTAATACAGCGTTGAACTATTTCGTGGAGCTACAGCTCCTGGTAACTTTTTAGCAAGATCGCTGCAATGTTTCTACCTATTATTTCGTATATTTTTGCAGCATTATGCGAAAAAAATTTTTAAGACCAAATATGTCTTATGTCTCATTACTTGTTAGCTTTACAATTTCTGTTTAGATTAACCCTCTGGCTGCTCATCCCGCAATTTCCACGGGCAACTCAAATGTAGCAAAATCTGCTCATCCCGCGATTTCTGCGGGCATGTGTTTTTCTTCCTATATTGAGGAGTGCATTCCGTTTTTTCCCGTTTAACCATTGAAATAAATTATATACAGTATTTGACGTATAGTTTACGTTTTGGCCAACACATATCGTTAGTTGTCTACTATTGCGGGATTTGAAGGTATGTGGTATTGCAGCTCAAACTTTACTTTTTGCCGCATTTTTCTTACAGAAATGGCTGCTAGAAAGCATTCAACGATTATCTTGATTATTAATAAAATTGTTGAATATTAATTCGATTTATTGATTAAATTATACTTAAATTGATTATTATTAATTAGATTACTAATTAGATTGATTATTACTTAGATTTATTGAATCTGGTGCGAAAAACTGTGTAAGTTGGACTTTGCCTTGAATCCTGTTTTGAACTCTATCATACTAAAATGCATTTCTAAGGTTATTTTTCCCTCAGTGCTTTATATTTTCTTAAACTTTATACATTTTACTTTTATATATAATGCAATAAATAGAAATTAACTGTAATTCGATTGAAATTTATTTAAAAAGTTATTTTTTTTGGTGATAGCATCTGAAATCGGTTTTTCTTTCAATTTAGTTTCTCATGATAAAAATCTACATAAAAGTGTTTTCTAGAAAGAAAAAGTGCATTTTTCAACTTTCCAACATATATAGATTTAAAATATGGAAAAAAAAAAAAAAAAAAAAAAAAAAATTTACACATTTTTTGAAGCGATTTTGTTCCACAAATTGAGCAGTCAGAGGGTTAATATTTTTCTTATATATATATACAGTAGAAGTCCGGAAATCCGCAAAGCTTGGGACCAGAGGTTGTGCAGATCTTAGGATTTTGCGGACTTCAGGACAGAAAAGATAAAGCATAATATTCAGACTAAAAGTGCAAAATAAATAAGATATCGTAAATAATAAGATATCGTATCAGATACATTTAATTAAATTATTATATACATTATTGCAATAATTTATTATATACATTAAATTATATTACACATATAAATTGATTATATTATTCATTGTATTATATGTACACAGCATCGAGGTTTGCTGATTTCGCCTCATGTAAAGATTTCCGGTTTCGGATTCCAATGTTAGAATCACTGTTGCTGTAAAATTTCAACAGCTTTTCTTTATTTTTCCATATATCATACACAATCGTGTCGCAATTCCATACCATTCTGCTATAAATCGAGGAGTAGCACCTGCCTGCCTCTTTTGCAGAATTTGCTTTTTTTGCGTTACCTTTTTCAACATTGCAAGCAGTAAAATCATGAGTGCGTTTTTTATCTGTCCTTGTATTACAGTATTTTTAATTTATCCACAAAATATCAGGATTAAAAAAAAGGCATCACTAAAATTATTTCGTGAAATAACAAAGCTAAAACAATACAACAACGTGAATTTTGAACTTGAACGAAGAGTTGAGTGAATCATCTGCTTTTATACCTCGATGGAGAGATTAGAGGGAAAAAACTTTTATCTTATTTTTTTAAACTTTTTTTTTTTAAATTTGGTATTTCTATTATGACTCATTATTATTCAGTAAGTATTTTTTCTTCAATATATCGTACTCAATGTTGCGGTTTCCAGAACCTATAAACTGAATGTTTATATTTTGAGAGACAACACGTTCAGGAGTTGGCGCATTTTCGGTATTTGACGATATATATGTAATATTTTTCTTATATATATATATATATAATATGTATGTATATAGAGAGAGATGCATGAATGCATATACATACATATGAGAACAGTATGGTACACATTTTTACAGTCAAAAATACTTATCAATTATACTGAATAACTGGATTCATGGAATTTAGTGGAAGGGAATAAAACTAAATTTCAGTTACATTAAAGTCAACTTTCCATGTAATCTAAAACATATTATTTTCAAGCCTTAGATTAATGACTTAGTTCTATGAATTCAAGAAATATGTAGCAGTTTTCTGATTAATTAGAAATTGAATGCCATATTTTACGCTTCCGATAATGCTTCACAATTTCTACATTATAATATGAACTTCAAGTCCCATATTTAAATTTGAGGTAGTCCCTTTTAAATATTGATTCCCCCCCCCCCACCCCCCCCCCCCACCCCCCCCCCCCCACCCCCCCCCCCCCTCCCCCCCCCCCCCCCCCCCCCCCCCCCCCCCCCCCCCCCCCCCCCCCCCCCCCCCCCCCCCCCCCCCCCCCCCCCCCCCCCCCCCCCCCCCCCCCCCCCCCCCCCCCCCCCCCCCCCCCCCCCCCCCCCCCCCCCCCCCCCCCCCCCCCCCCCCCCCCCCAAAAACCCCCCGCCCCCCCCCCCCCCCCCCCCCCCCCCCTTTATACCCCCCCCCCCCCCCCCCCCCCCCCCCCCCCCCCCCCCCCATTTAAAAACATTCAACTTAAATAGAAAAATTTAATTTTATATTAAAAATTTTATCAAAAATTATATTTATTATATTATTAATATATTATACATAATTAAATAAAAATAAAATGCTGAATCAATTCTAATACTAAATAACATAAAAATCCCTCATGCCAATCATTAAATATATGTACTTACCATGTAAACTGAGCAAAATCTGAATTAAATACAGGATGATAAGGATTTGGTGTAGGTAATGGATAGACAGGATGTCTGGGGATTCCTAAAAACAGGATAATTTAAAAATTTAAAGCACTCTAAAACAATTATAATGAAAGAAAGAAGCTCAATAAGCTTTTAAAAAAATAACAGCACTTTTCTGTTTTGCCGGCGCAAATCTCGCCAAGCAGATTTTGTTGGCGACAGCATGCAGTACACACATAAAAAATGTTAACAAATGTTAGTATTTTAATTTTTTGTTTTGAAGACAAACATTTTAATATGGTTAAAATTTTTGTAAAAAGCTAGTAAATAAAGAAAATAAATTTGTAAAGAGCCATTAATTTAAAATTTACTATGCTTTCATGGATCAACATCCTGAATCACCGGTTCATATCACGTGAACCCAAGTGATCTCATTTCACGTAAACTACGCTACAAAAAACTAATTATCTATGTTAATTTCAAGATAAATCTTCATCTTAAAATAATTCAATACATTAATTTCAAAATAAATCATATACAAGTTTAAATGTAAGAATTATTTCAATTCGTACGAATAGCTTACTCAGAAATTATGTAAAACCACATTGCTTTACTTCGCTAGTGCATTCTCATTAGAATTGATGAATTTAACCCTTGATTTTGCCTTTTCTATATTTTCGCCTTTGCGTGAGAGGTGTGATTGCATCCTACTTGACTTAATTACCGTGAATGGTCTTAGGGCATAAAACTTAACTATCTAGGTAAAAGTTCTAGGTAATTGTATGCCAGTATTGAAAGAAACAATCAATCTGATAAGAAATGGCTGCAACTTGTTTTGAAAATGAAGCGTAAAAGGTTACCAGTGAACATATTCCACTTGGCATCAGTTTACTGTTATTGGCGGCTTTAACTGTTTGCGCTGGCAAAACGGAAAAGTACCAAAATAACAATACTAACTGAATTATTTATTTGCCAAATAACCTATTTCAATAATTATCAAATCTTACTGAATTGTAGGACATGATAATGATATATAATATACACTTATTAAAAACCAGGTGCTGAGAACATATATGCTATACAATAAAATGACATATACAATATTAGGTGAATTGTTATTACTTGCTGAGAAAGACATTTTTCCTATTACTCTTAATTTAAAACATAAAATTCAGCTAAGGCTATAATGATCATACAAGTAAGAAGTACCTTTACATGATAAACATTAGCGAGTAATTTTTTTCTTACAGTTAGCGAGTTTTTGAAAAGTAATTTCTTCAAATCCGAGATACTTTTTGGACAATGGAGATTGTCATTAGGAATTACAAAACAATTAATTCACGATTTACACAATATTTACTCTGAGAAGAACTTCACAGACAAACAGCCAAAAGGAATTTTTTTTAAACTGTTCATAGAATACTTAGATGCAAACAGAATTTCATTAAAAAATAGATAAGTTTATGTACTGTTGTCATGATTGCAATGGGAAATGATCAGAGGCTTGGCATCATAAGTTCAGTTTAAAAACCTTAATATTCAGATAATACATTTCTTTTTCCATACAGAAGCTTAGATGTCAAACAGTTTATTAGTTTACCTTTAGAACAAAAGTCTGCACTTAACATATAAAAGCCTATATTTAACAACACAATAATGGCAAATGTAGGCAAAAGTAGACCCCTTTGATTGTATCTTTTTTCAATTTTATGCAATAAAATGGGATTCGAACATTAATCTCTGTTGTTCTATATTCAAGTTTGTTGGCTCTCAAAAAGCCCAGAGTTCATGAATTGAAAAGTATTTTACGCAAACTGCTCTTAGTATTCAGCTAAGTTGGAAGACTATTTGCAAGAAATGAACTACTTAAATTAATGGATTAAAAAAAAATCCTTTTTAAAAAGGTGAGGTGAAAAACAGTTCACACAATGTTCAGTCAGTGTTGGCAGTTTGAATTCTGAAAATAGCTACTAGAACTTTTAGATCAACACATGTGCATGCTTGAGAGTAAGCTTGACTGACCTGTTTTGGGATCTATGTGGACTGGTGGAATACCCATATGTGCTGGTGGTGGCTGAAATGGCTCTGCATTGTACATCATGAGGGAAAGAGATGTAGGAGCATGATTTGGTGGAACCAATGGTACCCTACTGACCTATGAAAAAAAACAAGAATTTTAACATGCAAACAGTCATTAGCATGAAGTAGCAAGTTTTACATAAGTGAATGTGTATAATATTATTATAAAAAATCACTATATATATAAACTCATAGATTTTAATTAAAAATATAAAATAAAAAATATACTATACAAATATATTTCTGTATGCTGATCATTAAAAAAGGAAAGGGAAATTTAGAAGAAATGTAACATTCTTATAAGCAATTTTTTTTTTTTAAATTTAAGGTGAGAACGATACATAGAATTGAAAAGCATTAGCAATATGCATCAAAATATTTATATGATTACCAGTTGTTCATTTTAAGACTATCATATTTTTATAATCATGCAAATAAAATGTACATCAGCTGTAAAATCTAATTTTTCAAAAAACCTGCTACAGCACAAAACTTCAAAATACAAAGCTGAGGGGGGGAGGGAATATTAATGTATTAGTAAATTCAGATAAAGTAAGATTCAGTATGAAAAGAAACAAAATGCTAATATGTCCATTTTATTAAGATTATTTACCATTACAGCACAAAAATATTTAATGTTTAGTAAATTTACAAAGATTTTTTACAAAGATTTTTTATTATAAAGGAAATAATTTTAACTGTATTGCTTATAAAATGTGCAGCATAATATTAAACATCAACAAAAAATACAAAGCAGCAATAAACAGATTGCAATAATATAAGTAATAAAAGCAACAGTAAATAAAAAAAACTAAGTAGCAATGCCTAGACTGCAGTGAACAAAAATTTTTTAATTTAAAATGGTAAATAACAGGGGGAGATAATGATTATTAATCTTTTGTCATAGTAAAAGTATAGTTTTTCTAAATACACTTGTAATGAATCTATTCAATATTCAGGCTCACATTCGTAACATTATACATTGAATAAAATACAACTGTAACATTTAGGAAGACTACTGACATTTTTTTACAATCAAAAGCATAATCTGCATATATTCAAAAACGAATATTACATATTTAAAAATAAAATACCATATAGTTACTTTTAGACCTACAACTCATTTTACAGTGATCTCGTAAAAAGCAAGTAAATATGATAAATATTTTATAGAAAAAAACAACATCAGGTTTTAAGAACGAAATTTAATTTTAAACATAGCTTCCTCCCGAATTATCAGCCTAAAACTTACTTTTCCACCCATACTTTTGTGATGAGCCATGCCGGGAAGCAATACCAACACAGCTGACATGACTCAAACATTCCCTTTCTCGTCATACGTTCACAAATTAATAATCCGAAGACCAAAACATGGCAAATTTGTTGAAATACAAAGATAAAAGCAGATGTATTAAACATTTTGTACCAAAGTTGTAAGAGAAACGAAAGATCATTTCGAAGTACACCGTTAACAACGCTAAGAGCACATCAGCGCCATTGCTGTGTGGAAAAAGCGACATCTAGGAGCAATCAAAAGATTTAAACAGTGAAAGACAAGACTCATCTTCAGCTTTAGAGTTTCGTTATATTCTTCTCGTTATGTTTGTACTTCCTGTGCTTAGAAACGTGAAAATATGAAACTCAATTAATCGAAAGAGTCTAAAATGAGTTAAAAAAAGATTCATTGACAAAAGAGGGAATTCGATTACTTATAGGGAATTACAGGGATCCCCCCCCCACGGTTTTGATTTAATGAGAAGAGAGGTATCCAGCTGTCTTTCTACATGATGTATTCCGATAGTGCCTTTCAGATTCAAATTTTGCCTTTTAAATTGTGTTTAAAAAATCCATCCGAATTTCATTATTAAAATTATTCTAACTCAGAAAAAATTTCTTAGAATTTAAACATAAACACGCTACCTACGATCAGATTTTATTCTGTGCATTTTGGGCTTCGAAATTATACATTTTGAGCCATAAAATCCCCGAAACCAAATTAAAAAATTACATTGGCGTACAAGCTTTCATATTTTGTTTAACAAAATCAACAAAAATAGTTTCTTCTGTTTATCCAAATTTTACTTTTAAATGACATCACATTCAGAAAAACAAATTTAAGTTGGTAAGGAATTAATTCTAAATGAAAAAAATTTCGTGCGATAATGCATTTTAGTAAACTTGTAAAAAACATTCCCCCCCCCCCGGAAGAAGGGTCAGATGCTTCGAAAGAAGGGAGAGGGAGGGTCAGAAAGTTGCAACGAACAAAAAAGGCGTAAAAAAAAAAAAAAAAAAAAAAAAAAAAAGAGAGAGAGAGAGAGAGAGAGAGGAGAGAAGAAGAAACAAATTGTCCTTTATGTATAAATTTCATATTCTTGATTTAGAAACACTATTCTGATCTTGGAAATGTGCATAGGTTAACCTCTGCATTATCCATCGTCATTATTACGCTATCAAAGGCATTATACATGCAGCTTAGCAAATTAGGAAATCGCAAAGATATCGAATTCGACGATCTATAAGATCCTATTATTTTTCAAATAAAATGGTACACTGTTTAACTAAGCGAGTGATTTAAAGGCAATACATTCGTATTTCTTAATAATTTATACTTTCATTTTACGTTTAATGATCTCTCTAATTACTATAATTATTTACTATAATTTTACTTATGTGGTTTATAATATGCTTAATTAAAAATCGCTGTAAATATTTAAGCTATTAATGTGCTAAGCAGCATAAACAGCTGAATTTTTTTTTTTACGATGGATAATTTGACTTCCCATATACTGATATTTTAAATGCGTTTATAAAATTTAAAAGAAACTTAGGCGGTTGAAAACTTTTAGTTTTTGTACTAGGCTTTATGTTCGGGACCAAACATATGTAAGGCCCCCGAAAATGTTGGAACCAAGCCAGTTAAAACCTAAAACAATTTTAAGTTAAGCAAATTGACCTATTAATTTAATAATAGTCTTTCAGAAATTAAAGGCCCCCCACCAACGGTGAAGCGGTTAAAAATTGAGAAATACTAGATACTTAGTTTTCATGTTTTCCCCATGTATAACGCAAGCCAGAACCACTTTACAACAGAATATCCTCAGCGATGTCAAATGGCCTTTGCGTGTTTTACCATATTCAAAATAACCAACTAACCAATCATTCAAAAATTTAAGAATCTGAAATATAAAATCTTATATTCAAAAGTTAGCATCTCAAAACGGTAAAAAGAAAATTTGATATCATATTATTTCATCGTAAATTAAACCCACATGAAGACATGGGCATTTATTCAATACATTAACTGCGCATTTATTTTACTCCACCTCATATTCACAAGGAGCGTTACAAAAATTTCAATTAAATAGCAATACTTTCTATTTTGCGTGCGCACCAATAGCCGAGTGGTAAAATCAGTGAACACTAGTAGCTCTGACCTGGAATCAATTCAGGCGAACGGGCTGGCTGCTTGGGCGTTTTCGTGTTTTTCTCCATGTGTAACGTGCATATGAGCCAGTTTTCCTAAGAAAGTTCTCCACGAAGGCATCCCCTCCCTGAGGCAGATAGCTCTAGTGCGCATTGCCATAATCAGTTAAAAACCAAAACCTTTCTATTTTCCCCGGGCACGAAGTAAAACGAACTGAAAACAACAAATACTTCTTAGACAATTTTTTTAAATTCTTTTTTAGATACTTCCAGATTACACTTTTATTACTTCAATTAAGATTTACGTTAAATAATTTTTTAATTTAAAAATATATAAAATAATTAACACTGAAAAGTTTCACAAAAATTAATATTTACTATTGCTAACTCGTAACACTAAATCTCCTGTATTGAATAAAATTAAAAACCCCAAAATATTTTAATTTTAAAAACTCCACCGTTCGTTTCTGCATTTTTTAGCATAAAATGGCATACATATTAAAATACATACATATTCCTGGTTAAGAAACTATATATATATATATATATATACACACACACACACACACAAAAAAAAAAAAACTGATTAAATGATTCTTTTTTTACGCTGATTAGTAATAAACCTTTTATAATCGACGAGTAAAAAATATAAAGATCTTCGATTGGCAAAAGACGTGCTCTTATGTTAAACACATTTATTCGCAACATGTAGCATTTTATTGCTAAATGGAAAAAATAACATTTATTCGAGATGTTACGAAAAAATAACACCGTAATAAAAGAAAACAAAAACAAATTTGAAAGCTTTCAGATTTTACATTACGCCCAAAGAGGCGTTTTTTCATTTACGCACAATACGAATTTTTCGAAGAATTTGGGGTAATATCTCGTTGGGCTAAAAAATATTTAAAAACACCATATCTTTAGAATTTTCGATAGCCAGTCTCAGGCGCTGGATATAAAATTCTGCCTTGCTACTGCTTGCTTTGAAATCGTTGAGTTTGTAAATAAAAAATTCGTTAAAGTTTTCAAAATATAAAAGAGAGAATAAAACCAATTCGAGGACTACGTTATTCAAAGTTTGATGGCTCCAGATACCGTCGTTTTTTCACAATACGAGAAACATAGCTACACATTCTCCTCTATTTAATTTTTTAAAAAATAAATGATAATATTTTTTAAATAAATGATAATATTTGGTGACAACAATTTGAAAAGTGATTCAGCCTTTTACAGTGATTCCACGCACAATCCCGTTTCGAGACAAATAGCCCTTCCGAGCTAACGCTCCTTTTAGGATTTAAAAAAAAAAAAAAGACAACATACTTAGATTTAATCTGAAAAATTTACTACGCTTTTGAATTTATATTAAACCAAACTTTCGTTTCTCAAAACAAAACATCAATATCAAAAGCTTAAAAAAAAGAATACGACTTAAGAGAAATTGCTAACGATTAAAATGTCTTCGACCGCATACTTGCTGAACAGGTACGATTTTAAGATACTGTGTATATTTTTATATTTGTAATATTCTGCGGTGTACAGAATACGAAGCCTGCTCGTTTCCATTAGATGAAGAGGACTCCAGGTGGCATACTGTGGATCGAATAAGAAACACTTGAAATAACGGGGGGTTTCGATAAAAATGTTATT